CCCTTTTAGCCGGTGCTACCAATCTCTTCGTTTCGCCTCGCTACCTTCTCGTTCCACCCCCGTGCAAACCCCGTAGCCCGTCGTCGGTCGGGACACCACGCGCACACACGGTGTTTCGCGCGACGCGATCCTATCTGAAAACGAGCCGCGAGTAAATCCAACGCGAGACGACCAAACAAAAATCGAATTAGTATTAATGTTGCACGACGGCGTCGAAAAAACGAGGCACACCACTCGCGAGCACATCCATATTCACTGGCGTCGAGCGAATTTTTTCGTACACCGCATAAATTAACCGTGTTTCTGATACACGGTCTACACTAACGAATCGATACACTGTATCGTTCAACTTTTAATAATCCGTGAATGACGATTCGATCGTCGTGCACGGTATTTCTGAATTTTCCGTCATGTTTTCGACGAAGCAGAGTAACCGTAGGATATTGATATACGTTTCATGGATCCTTTATTGACTTGTCGCGAACGAAACATTGCAAACGTTATTCCGTACGTTCTATTTGAGAAGTATATCGATGAAAAGGAACGGATATTCTATTTTTTAAATCGGTGGCGGTCGTCGATTGGTTCGACTCGCAGTGTAAAACAGGTTACATCGAACCTTCAGCGTTTTCTGCGTTCGTTGCTAACGAAAATAACGTGGGTGGAAAAGTTACTCGGCTTGTATTTCACCGTGCGTCGAAGTTTCGATCATGAATAGCTTGGAACCGTAAGCTTCGGCCCCGAGAAAATTGCGCCTGAAACTCGCCTTAGTTTCCATACACGAATTTCCACCCCCCATTTGTCACGCGTCTCGCAAGGCTACTTATTTGTACACGTCGTGGTGCTTGTATCCCGCGACGATAGAACGCAACTGCGCCCCGAATTTACCAGTCTGGGAATGATCGATTCTCGTAGAGGGTCAGCTTGCTTCGACGAGACATTAGTCCTCGCGCTGCGTTTCCGCTACACCTCCGTGCCCCTTCCATCCCCCCTCTGTCCCCCCTTGCGCCCTATTCGCCTCCATCGTCCCTCAACGGATGTTGAAACTGCTTTGTTGCACGAGCAGGTCGTTGCCAAGCGTCTCTGCAGAACGCTCTTTGGCGAAATCGACTGGTGCCGGGGTTCGATATTGCTCCGTCGGAAAAGTAATTTACGACGTCGTTCGGATTTCATCTGGATGGTCTTCGAAATCGAACGATTCATGAAGCGAGATAAAAGCCGATCCCGTTTCCCTATACACAGTTTTTCACCGTCAGACCAGCCCGCCGGGCTGTCAGTTCTCTGCTTTATGCGCTGCTTTTTGCTGGTCGAGACGCGCCGGGCTAGTGGAAATGGGAGTTTCGGTGGATCCGATGCGGACCGGGCCAAGTTGAAGCGATGTAATTGGGTTTGAAGCGAAAGACGGGGTAACTTTGGGAGACAGTCGCGCGCGCGGCGAGACAAAGAGGCAAGTTTAAAGCTTCCGTTGAAAGCAGTTTACACGCGGGTTACGCTGTTAAATGGCCTGGGTCTCTGATCGTACGTAGATTTCACCAGGTGCTGCCAAATGCTCGCTATTACGGCGACGAAAGAAATCCTCCTCCTGTAATTGACGTAACTAAACATGGAATATGTCCTAGCAAGCAAAAACCTTTCAAACCCAGACTCGATATGAGTATACCGTGGTCTCGACTGACCAAGATTCAAAATGATCAGTTGTCGTGCCTCGAGTTCCACACAAACTACTTCCAACTCGATCAAACTCACTCTACCCACACAACTCCGAATCAGAAAGTAACTACATCTTGCTCTAACATTAATCAGATATAATTTAGAGATGATCTATTCCGAATGTTCTGCATATCACCTCAAACTTAATCAAACAAGCTGCTGCACATGTACAACTCGGAATCACGCGTTGTCTAGGCACAGCATGCATCTAACTTGATCCAATCTAGAACTGATTCACCCTTGGCAGATGAATCTACAAAATTATCGTAACGTCGAACCTCTATATACCATCATCGACTTTCTCAAACACACCACTTTACATGCTCGTGTAGACTGTCTTCAGATTGGACAGGCTTATCATCAAACTCTCCACTTGATGTGCACAGTTGTGGATTATCCACTAGTTAGATGTAAAACGTAGGAAAACAAATCTAAATATATCATCGAATGGTGGATTCTATACACCAAATGCATTGGGTTGCGGAGGCGTAGGCGCAATTGTCGCGTCGTTTCTGAACGTAGGCTTCGTTTAAAATCCTCTGTACGGCAATTCCTCTGCGGAAAGTGTCGCTAGAACAGGTTTAGATAACCGGCGGACGCGTCACTCAATGGTACGCGCGATATCCCCCGTAAATTCCGGATAAATTTGTCGGCGTGCGAGTCATCGCGCACGCACGGTATCTGCGAGTGCACGCGCCAACGAAATTCGGCATATCTATTCCGCGCTCGAACGCGAAGTGCCTATCGAGGCGATTTTTTTCCTCCCCCTGGCCAGCGCGCTGTCATAATTGCATTCGACGATTGACGCGGCCTCGCGCCGCTCGTATCGCGACGCTACCGCGGCCGCCGGAACGTCATTAATGGGATTTCCGTCCGGCGCTGCACGCGTGTTTCGAAAACAATAACGGGTTACGGTTATTGTAATGGGATACGATAACGGCCGAAGAAACATCGACTTTAAATTTTTGTCGTGATTGCGTCTGGATGTTCCAATACGCGCGGGATTAGGATGGGAATGAATTGGAACGCGGCAAATGGCTTGTATCTCTTGCTAATGGGGAATGCGAAATTGTCGGCATCGGTTACGATAAAATAAAATTGGAAAACAGTAGGCGCTCTCTTTATCCGCGATCGCTAAAGGACGAGAGTTAATTTCGGTATACTTAATTTTGTTTCGTATAAATTCCGACGCCCGAGGTATGGCAAACAGTCTGGCCGGGTAGGCGATCGAAAGTTCGCAGAGGCGCGAAAGTTCGCGATGAAAAATTGACTTTTCTGCGGATTCGTGCTCGCGTGACAAATATTTGAAGATCGGGGGTGGTCGGGGGATATTTCCGTGCCCCGCGGGGAACCGACGAGCTGCAAGTGACAGCGCGCAATTACCCCCTCCCCCCCGCGTCGAATGTTTACGCAACGGATAGTTTAATAACGCAGAACGACACGGTGACACGCGACCGATGGAAATATTCTTTCCGAGCCCTTTGTACTCCCGGCCGCTTTGCGCGAACTTAATTTCGTTTCTGTCGCGAGCGTCGAGCAATTTTCCATCGTTGGCCTCGCGAAAAACGCTCGATACCCGCTTCGGGTAGCCCCGCAACAATTACGGCTTTCGTTTCCCTTATCTTTCGAGATAAAGGCGGAAGCCCGCGTAACACCGGCGTAAGAAACGGCTGATGTTGCGAGGCCGCTTCGATCATTAAGATCCCGATTATCGCGTATCGTGGTACCGGCCGCGCTAAACTATACGACGTAATAGTTAACGAGCTCGAACTTCCGCCATACGGTGCGGCAAATTATCTAAATTCCGTACAGTGGCCTAATATCGACCCCCGCCCCCCCTCTTTGGTTACCGAAAATTAGAAATTGTCGTCTATCGACGACTATAAGGAGCAACAGCTGCGGACACCGATATCGATATGCTGAAGGGCTCAAACGAGGTCACGTAAACGACACCCCCTCGAAGCATCCTTGCATTAATAACGATTATTATAATACAAAACGCTTGTAGGTTCATAAAATTATTTCGAAGGTATATTCAAAGGAATACATAAATTTTTATAGCTCGTCATTGTAGTTCATTCCCTTTGTTCGTCTCGCGTTTAACTTGGATCATTACTTAAGCGCTAAGTTACGTTCCGTGGAGTTGAAAAACAGTCTCCGTTCGTTGAACCTCGCCCTTTTATCAAGCCCGATGCAGTTCTCTTACGTACGTTTTACTTCTTTGCTTTTTTATTTGGCGAGCAAACTCGTTAAACGGAAATAAAAATAAAAAAATATTCCAAGTATAGCAGCCCTACGGTCTCGTTAATTGTTACGTGCAGGCAAAAGACGTTTTCCGTGAAATTTTCGCCCGGAATGGCGGTTCGCCGATGTACGTAGACGAAATAAGTCACTGGCTTTCCCTTCGAAATGCCTGGGCGGCATTGAAAAGCGGAACGATAATATCTTGGGAGTGAAAGCTCGAGGGGTTGAAATCGTTATGGCGTTGCGTGCGGTAAATAGATAAATGCCGACTTGAAGTGCATGAAACGGCACGACGAAGGCAGATACGGCGCACCGAATCGTGAAAATGTATTACCGCGGAAATAATTTGCATTTAGATCCCTCGATAGCTCAACAGAGTATGCGTCTTGGCATGCGTCGGGGCGGTTTTTTAAATTCTGAACGATAAACTGTTTTGCACCAGTTCAGCGTTTACACAGGATCACGTTAATGCTATTTAAATTTCTGCCTCGTCTGATTTATCGTTGACTCGTACTACTTACTCCGACATTCGAATCTACCCTTTATCGATTGGAGATGCTTCTGAGTGTGTTTCAGAGTGATACGTAAACGTACACGTCCCTTGGAAATTAAAATATTTCTTCGTCTGCTCAGTCGTTGACTCGTACTACTTGTTTTGACATTCTAATCTATCCTGTATCTATTGGTGACGCTTTCAGACTATTTCAAAGTAATAATTACCGTTTTCAGAGTGATACGTAAACGTACACGTCCCTTAGAAATTAAAATTTTTCTTCGTTTACTCAATTATTGGCTCGTACTACTTTCAACTTGCAAACCAGAGATGTGGAATCTTATCTAACGTTTCAGTATGCGAAAGACGATTATTTTTAGAGCTCCAGGAAAAGGTATACATCATTGAAAGATGTAATACTATTTCCTTGTTTACTCAGTCGTTGACTCTTACTACTTGTTTCGAGATTTATTATCATTTTTTTACCGAGAAAACGTTGGAGAATTAAGAAGGGATAAGTAGCCTAACGTGCAGGGATTTTCTGTGCTTTCAGCGATCACGCATGGGTCCTACATCAGGCATTACACAGCTGCTTGGTACGACACCGTGGCACTGAGAGAACATCGTACCAGAAGTCGTCGTGACACTTCGGCTTCCGGGCATCCGGGGGACGCGACGCTGAATCTACGCCTTCACGCTCTCGACAGGTTCGTAAAACCACGTAGTCTTGGGGTGGGAATGGAAAGGAAAAGAAGGGCGGAGGAAATGGGGTAAGAGGCGGGGCGGGGGGTGGATAAAAGAGGTGGGTGGGCGAAGCAAAGCTTTGTCGAGAAAATTTCTACTTCCTCGCGCCAGTCAAAGGCGGAATAATCTTTCGATTGTCGGTCGTTTTTCGGGGAGAATGCGTTGTAACGGAGAGATATAAATTTTCATTTCGCGTCAGACGTCGACTGACAAGCATTTGCCGCGACGTATAAATGGTCCCGATGAAAAATAAACGCGAACGGGGTCGCGATTTGACTAAAAACTCGGATGGGAATGTTAACATGCATAACAGATGGATTTTTAGTCGGGCCAGGACAAAGCCGAACAAGCGTCGTAATTTATTTACGAGGGTTTCACCCACCCTTGCATTCACGTTTTTACAAAATAAAATTGAAATGGCCGCTTTACGCGAGTTTTAAAAATAATAATAGTTATACCCAGGAAAAACAGTTACAGTTTACCCATTTTAATGGGTCATCAGGGTGGTGTACTCCCTTAATGCAACAATTATTTTTAATTCAACGATCATCGGGGTTGGGCATAAAAGTTTTCGCGAGGCTTTTTAACGCTTCGCAACTCCGGTGATTTTCTACATTCTCCTGACGTAATGCAAAACAAAGAGTGTAGCTTCCCTCGCGCGGGTCTCCGAAGGGGTAATTATTTTATGCGCGCGGAAAGAGCATTTCTCCTGAGAGCGCAAGTTCTGGACGAACTTCAGACAAAGAAGCCGAATCATCTCGGCAGCACGGGCCCGTTTCACTATATTTCTGCCGTCTGGCGTTGACTATAATTTAACGCGTGAGTAGTTCAGACGGGGCTCCGTAGAAATGTCTGAAATAAGCCAGACATTGCGCGCACAATATCGAAATATTCCAAAGGGAGATGCTCGGAACGTAACAGGCTCGTTTCGTTGCGAATTTACTTCGCTAGGCGTTCGAAATTAAGTGCATTTTAATGGATCGTCAGTTGGAACGACTCACGGCAAGAGTATCAAAAGTAAGTCATCGGTGACAATTCGGAAATATTAAGTAGAATATTTTCTTCGTTTACGAGGACATAGAGTATGATTTAAAATAGTGATCGGGTGTACTACCGATAGACTTTAAATCATTATGATATACAGTTAATTATAAACGGGTAGCAGCTGCGTATAGTAAGCAGCACCATGCGCTGTAATTAAACCGAGGGAGGCAGTGGAGGGTAAAACATTACCCAGAGGACTAATAAATAAAATAGCAGATGAACGAAGGACGAAAACTATACGAGAATTTTTTGATCGAATAATTTCGAGATACAAAAGTGTATTGGAGGAAATCGAGTAGAGGTGGATCGATGAGAATCTCCTTAAGCGCGACAGTTGCCGAACAACTCCCTCGCAGTAGGAATGCGCATGTTTGCTCGATCCTCTGGCGCCAGCTCGACATGTGCAACGATTGTCAGCCTTATGTGACACTGACCCGACATGGTGGCCATATGCCTCGTTGAACATCGCGATACCCCGTCACTGTGTTGTCAGTGCCATCGACACGGACCTCCTAAATCTCTGCGTTACACTCAAAAGCACAGACGGCTCTGTTTCAATGTCGTTGAACCGTCTCCTCTGGCGTAACATCTTCTGTTTACTGGTTCTCCTTCTCTAGATTCACACTGTTCCGATTCGTGTCAGTCCAATTCCATATGTAATATAGAGAGAAAGAAAAATCAGTAATTTCTGTCAGATCTTATTTATCCTAATCCCTACTATACATTCAGGTCTACTTTTCCGTGCTTCTTACTATACATTTAGTCCACCAGACTTGATCTTTCTTTCTCCTTCTTACACAAGAAGAAAATCTGAAATCTACTCTTCAGTCTTACATCTATCACCCCTACGTTACTATATTCCCTCGTCGTTACTAACCCCTGTCGACTTTATTTACCTACATACCTCTCCTCGCTCTGTTCGCCCAACCCTCGGTCTCTCCATCGAGTTGCAAAAACTTTTCACACCCTTAATTTATCAACCCTTCCTCCAACGGAGTCTATTCTCACAGCCACTTTCCTCCCTCCCACCCGTGATACTTTTCCTTTCCACTCTGTTTCTTCGATTCCCCATCAACCTCCGTTCTCCATCAAACTTCGCGCCGCCACGTTTTTGCCCTTTTCCCAACTCCGGGACCTGCAACTCCCGTTTTTTGGCCTGACAGTTTCCCTCTTCGTTCCAGTTTTCCCGCCTTCGACCTCCCTCGCTGCTGCATTCGCCTCGCATTTGGTCGATACGAGGCAGTCGCGATTCGGGTGCGTCACCAGAGAGAGTTGCTGCACCTTTGTGCGAACACGTTCTCGATTGGATTCGCCACGAAAAGTCGACTCACCCTTTGCCACGGTCCCGAAAACTGAGAAAATCGCGGGGAAGTTCGAGAGACTTATCGCGCCCGAAATACCACCCCCGCGCTCAACCCTGAGGGTGCAGGTTCTCAGGTCTCTGAGCAGTAAATTTTCGTTGAAATACGGACGAAGGAATGGAAGAGGGAAAAAACACTGGAGGAAGATGGCGGTGAAATTTATAAATGGTTACTATTAGCGCGGGGGTTGGTTTGGATATGAGGGTTTCTGTAGAAGGAAGACGAACGTGGCGGAGGTTTACGGTGGAGTCCGGTTTCGTCAATCGTCTGTCTTTCGACGGAAAAGACATACCCTGAGGGGCGATTTGGGGTGACTTTCGTAGTTTAGTTTATAGACGGTTGTTCGAACGAATTATGAATAGGATAACTACTTTTCTTATTTTATTCTACGAATAAAATGTAGTTTTCTAGTTTCTCTAGCTTTCGACTCGGCACGTTTGTTATCCAGCTTCATGAGTGGTTTGCCCCGGAACGTACATCGATGTAACAATATTTTATTTGAATACAGTTCCATTCGAGATATCAAACTTCCGCGACGTTTACCAACCGAAGAGAAGGAAAACCGAAAGTTCTGGCGAACCTTTCCAGCTACAACAGACGATAAAACTTCATTTTTATTGTCTGATTCGGTTATGGAGGACGACAGTAGGGCAGCTTTACGACAGACGGAGTATCAAACTCGAGGGAAAACAACTGAAATTCCTCCACTCTCTCGATAAAGCTAAGTAGCGGATAAATTCAGGGATACGGTGACCCGGTCTCTCTAACCCTTAAAAATATATAAAAAATTTTCTTACTCGATGTTCTATTCTCCAAAACAGTCTAGCTACACTGTGCTAAATAAGTCTCGACAAACGTGGTGAAGACTGGACGAATAATTCTCGAATTATGTCAGCGTTTATCGTCTGAATGAAAACAAAGGGTTGTTGGATGGTCACCCTTAAAAAGACCGTTACACAGACGAGACAATATTTCGCAAGAGGTTCGAATGCTCCTTGCTTAAACTCTCCGATACCCCAGAAGCATGTTTTACGACCCTGAAAATAATTCCAAACGATTTCACGAGAGATTCCACCCCTACGATAGCGAAGGGTGGGGAAACTCGCCGAGGCCAACAATTACCGAGCATAATTTCGACTTTACGCTGGTAATTAAAAAATGGCCGACAGGAGATATAAAAGGGGATTACTCGAGGAGAAAGCCGGGGTTCAAGCAAGGAGGAAGGCATCCCTTTACGATTAATCCGCTTTGAATAGGGGTTGTTAAAAGCGATCGTGATCGCTAGGACAATGGTATCACGGTGGAGACGGACCAGTTAGCATTATTGTCTAGTTAAGTTCACCCCTTCTCAGGAATTCGCGTTACCCTCGCCGCCCTTTCACCGGGGTTGCAATTAAAATCGACAAAGTTCGCGTTCGTATAAACGCGCTGCGTTCTGATTTTCTTTCGTTACAGGCGGCGCGATTTAATTGGATTGTTCGTTAATGAGTTCCTTGAGCGATAATCAGCCGAACTGTTGCAAATAAACCGGCGGCGCGCTCCCAATTAACCTTAATATCGGCACTTATTGCGCTCGAGCCAACTACGTCCTCTAATTATAGAAATTCGGACGTGCCGATCGGTGGAAGGGCACCCTCCGATGGAGGGGCGGGGACGCCGGAATCAATTCAAAATCGATTCGGACGGCGCAAACAGGGTAGCCGGCTCTCAGGAGGGGGTGCACATGTCTCTCTAACAGTTTGCTGTACGTTTATCCCCTCGTGTCCACAGATTGGTGCAGTTTATATCGTTTCTTTAATACTCGTCTATCTCGGCGCGAATATAAGGAAATTTGAAATCACTATTTCACCAAAGAAAATGCAGATGCTCGATTTAGTCCTTCGAAGGGTAGTAAAAGATAATCAAAAAATTGATTGATCTTTTTAAAATAAAATGTTTAGAGGGTTCGTTGGAATTTTGTTACTTTCGAAGGAACGTTTGTATCGAAACGGAAAAGGAAAAAACGTTGTTTACGAGTGGGAATTTATCTTAATTACCACATGCTCGTCAGTGTTTGAAAGGGCAGGGCAGAGAAACGAACGCGTCCGAGAGCATTAATCAGTTACGAAACGTCGCTTGCAGGACGATAAACCGGCAATGAGGAGGGCAAGAAGTGCCCTTCACACGCCGCGCAACCCCTCCACGGTTCCACGCCCCTCGCGTCTGTCCCGTGCACGTTAAGGTGTCCCTTCCGTGAGTGTATATTACCAAGGGAACGAGGTTGTCGTGGGTGGAGCGCATTACCCTTGCAACTAATCCCATTTCTCAATGGTACACGCATCACTCACCGCGCCTGACTAATCGTCCTTTCGAGGAGCCGGGTGTTGCTCTCCCGTAAATTGAGCAATAACGTGGTAACGCACGGTCCGACGATAATTTTCGCGGCATGATACATCCACCCATGACTAGGAATTTCCGTAAATATTCGCGTTTCGTCGAGCACCCTTTCGTCCGACCCTTTAAACTATGCAGCTTCCGCGGAACGATCGTTTGCGAATTACTCTACAGGGCCATCAAAA